AAGCGTTCGCTCGTCACGCCAAAGGCCCGAGTTCGATTCCAAATATGGGTACACTGTGTGAAGCCCATTCCTGGTGTCCCCGGCCGTTAAATTGCTGGAATATTGTTAAAATCGGCGTAAACCCATACTCACTTATTTGACATATACAAGTTTGCAACCATCTTGACAGTTGTGAACACGCGGCGTGTGTCAGACAACTCCATATATTGTTGGTTACTAACTTAATACTAATATTTTGCTGACTGCTTGAGGCATATTTGATTATACATCAAACAACGCGGCACGCAAAAAAGCCCTTCATATGAATATGATATCAATTCATCTGTCCTGATATAACATGATTCAATGCCTTTACCAACAATAAAACAAGTTGTTCGTGTATGGAGGCAATAAATATCCGATTTTCTCAAATCTGGGACAGAAAATATGCCGGCACCAACCTGGTTATGAAAACCTTCCCTGAATAAATTAACCAGCAACACGCAACAACACAAAATAATTAAAGGGGCAATGATATTAACTTATTTATACATTGTATAATGTAAAAAAATATCAACTTATTCCAACAGGGAATTATATGGTTAATGCACACAAACGCAATGCCTTAGATTGAAACCTGTTCATCGCCCATGCGGTTAACACAGACTACAAAGATTACTTACGTGATAAACATACCAACGCTGAAATTCTAAACATCGTGTAACCGTACAGATTAAGTAGCCATATAGATTCCTTACAAAGTATACTTAAGTATAAATTGCATTCCGCGGAGTAAAAACGTGCCACTGTAATTGCCTTCATAACTGTGGCGTATATGAAGACAGAGATTAAAGAAGTCTGGCTTCAACAGGTGTAATATATGCCTTGTAACTGATACCCACTGACAATGATAGCAGCTCTGTGTCTATAAGGTCGTTGGAAGTCAAAGGCTTGACACATAACATGGATGAATTACGCTGGTGCGTTGCAAGTCATGGAACTAATATACAGAGAATCAAATGAGGCTAACGGACCGTGTTCTGTCCGTCTCAATTGTGCTGTTGCTAATAGACTCAGGAAAGTAGATATCGGTGTCGACATTTCTCAATGTACAGGGAGACTTATTATGTTGTATCACACATTCCCGCACACGGGTCAGCCTAGACAAAACAAATGCTTTGTTTACATTTGTTGCCATGGTGATGAGTAATAGGAATGCGACACACAATATTGGAGTTTAAATGATGGGTTTGCTAGGTCGTGATTACAACCTGAGTTTTTCTATGAAGTTTGTTTGTTTGTTTTGCGTCCGTTTTGTTTTGACACAACGAGTGTGTAAAGGAGAATGGCAATTGAACAACGATCTCTTCTTGGGGACTTTTTTATTGAACATGTTTAACGATTGAGGATACGTACTTATGACGCTCAAGGAAATAATTGTTGAAATGTTTATTTGCTTAGCAACTTTTCAAGGCTTTGTCAGCTGTTCGTATAATCTGATCTTGTTCTATAAGTACCGACTTACAGGTTTCAAAGTTAACGTTTTTTGTAGATGAGATAAGTACAAACAGGTATTTATCGAAATCAGATAAACCGAACCAGGTGTTATTGAAATGTGTGAACAACAACGCGAGTGAAAGTTAATTTATTGTTATGAACGAGCCATGAGTCTTATCTCAAACTATTCACACGACTAATTGTACCGTCATGCTCTAAGATCTAAGACCGTGTTCTTTGAATAGTTTGTACAGCCTATGCACTGAAGACCTGTTCTAACTCGTTTTTTTCACGGGTCTCTATACGTATGAGAATGAAATAAGTAAACTTGATCAATTAAAGCAGCCCTTTCCCAATTCGAAGAAAGTATTTGATCCAAAGGCAACCCAACCTTCAGTTGACATGCTATAAACACCTTGTGCCAGGACTTTTGGCTATCTTCCACAACAAAGATAGTTCGATACAGCCGAGTTCGTGATGCAACGCGGCTGTAACTATCATTTACTGAATGACAGTCTTAAGGCATCTTGGTAACATGACCTTGTATGTTACTGAAACGGAAACTATCACCGGGGCCCACACTTGAAGAATGTATTAGAATGTAATCTAAACATTTTCAGGAAATGTTTGAACCCTAAACTAATTTAATAAGATCTAAGTTCTCGCTACCGCTAAACAAAAGAGGGAGTGGTCACGGATGGCACGGGAGGCCCGGATGGCCCAGTCGTCTGAGGCGCAAAAATTCGCAGAGTTGCGTCTCTTGGGCACTCCAGAAACCTTTGATTGTGAGTTTGAATCCCGATTCAACGCGATTATGTTTCTAGGATTGTCAGCATCATCCCCGAAGTGGCAAACGTCTGAGACATGCATCACTTCGGGCGTTCCTCCCACATTAAGCTGATACTCCGTGATATAGTGAGTGAGTGAGGTTTTACGTCGCTTTTAGCAATATTCCAGCAATATCACGGCGGGGGACACCAGTTATGGGCTTCACATATTGTACCCCTGTCGGGAATCGAACCCGGGTCTTCGGCGTGACGAGCGAACGCTTTAACCACTAGGCTACCCGACTGCCCCTCTCCGTGATATAACTGATAATACAGTGATAATACTGTTAAAAACGGCGTTAAACCGACTCACTCACTAAACAAAACCCATCTTAGGACAGCCCATTACAGGTCACGTCAGAACACACTTTCGCGAACTTTGACCGTCTAATAAAATGACTTTAAAAAAGTCGACATAAGCCAGTCAGAGAGCGCTTTCTCGAACGTTACGGCACTGGTCACAAACTGGCGACTTTCATTTGATGATAATTTAGACAAGGTTCTCGATTCAAAATTTGAAAAAGAAAATTCTGGAATGTCTTATAGATGACTAAGATTTTATGGCAGTACTTCCCATGGGCTATGGAAAATCTCTTCCGTGTCAAATGTTTATGCGAGAGATAAACGGTGATCTTGACGGAATCAGTCGTGCGGCGCGTAACTGCCGTTCGGAATACTTCGTGTTAACCTTTTCGAGGCTGCTTGATAGGAAAACGCATTCCGACTGTCACTTTCCGATCTGATTTTAATGAGATTGATACACATTTTGTGTTCTGTCTAATTACGTTTAGGGTCTAAACACATGAAATGAGGTATCGTCTCAAAGCCCAAACACCACCTAGACACAACACCCCAATAATCTAAACATGTTTAGAATTGAAGCATGTTTAGTGTTTAAACAACGTGAAGAATTTAAACATGTTTAAAAACAGTGCATATCATTAGGCATTAAGTCAAATATGGATAAGATGAATAATATATGTTGAAATTACATATGCAAAGCAGATTCACGGACACTTGTGTAACGTACATACCACAAGGACTTACAACAAACTTGGTACAATATTAACTAGGGCTGGGACGAGTCTAAATTTACTATTTTACCACCACCCTATTACCCGACCCTACCCGGGTACCCACTGTAGGTCTCAGGAGATGTCTCAAAATGTCCGAATGTACAAAACATGTATTAAACAATCGGGTCATTCATACACTGAAGTTGAATTAAGTTATATCTTTATTCAACCATATGAAAAATCAGAAGGAATGGGTGCATAGTCAGAAAGAAATGCGAACATTAGTGACTTTTGTGTAACCATAGGGTTCTAGATATTTTTTGTCATCAAACAATATATCACGTGACTAACCACGAGTCCGGGTAGTCTTGCGGGTACCCGGGTCCTACTCAGTACCCACCCGACCCGGGTACCCGAGTTACCAGTCCCAGCCCTAATATAACATAAAAATGTACAAATAAACCCAACTAAGTTAATTGTGACTGGGTCATTTGACATTTGTGACACGTCTCCGTAGCACTGGTCGTAGAGTGAAGGCCTACAAAGCAACAGGTTGCAGGGTCGTATCCCGCTGATGTTTAAAGAGTGTTTATAAACGTTGTTGGTTGGTTGGTTTGTTGTTTAACGCCGCACTCAGCAATATTCCAACTATATGACGGCGGTCTGTAAATAATCGAGTCTGGACCAGACAATCCAGTGATTAATATCATGAGCATCGATCCACGCAATTGGGATCGATGACATGCATCAACCAAGCCAGCGAGCCTGACCACCCGATCCCGTTAGTCGCCTTTTACGACAAGCATAGTCACCTATTCTACCCCGGAATCTTCACGGGTCGGTATTGCCGTATGACTAATAGTATTTCTGCCCTAGAGGAAGCGGAATCCGACAATGAAAGTATATCTTTATTTCCCATATTTACACCAAAACACGTTTACCTCCTGAACACGTTTAGACCCTAAACGCACCCAAATTATCGGACAAGGAATGTGTTTAGGACCTAAACAGCCAGGTGTACGATGGAAGTCTGATTTTGGACTCTGTAGCTGATGGCACTAAAACTAAAGTACAGCTATTTTAACAGACTGGTAACAAATAAAATTTCAGTTAACAGACCTAGAACGTGTGAAAACCCAGCCCAAACCATTAACATTATATGGCGTTAAAGGAGTGACATGTAAATTGGTAAAATTGGTATGCGTCATGGTCACAGTTGTCAAAATAATGTGACCATTAAGTAGAACGCGTTACGTGTTCGTGGAGATTCCTGGATTCCCAAGCCACCTATATCTGTCGCAAGGAGCGATTGACTATGGTTTTACGCCGTTTTTATCAATATTCCAGCAATATCACGACGGGGACCTCTGGAAATGGGCTTCAGGCATTGTACCCCTGTAGGGAATCGAACCGGGCCTTCGGGATGGCGAGCGAACGCTTTAACCACTAGGCTACTCCGCCGCCCCAGGCTACTTAATGGATCCGGTGGTCAGGCTCGGTTACTTGGTTGATTGCGTGTCATCGTACTCCGACGGCGTTTCGCGTTGAACATTCAATTACTGGAGGGTCTTGTCCAGATTTGATTAATTACAGGTCGCCGTCATTTAGATGGCACATTGCTATGTATGGCGTTAAACAACAAACAAACATGCCCATGTGATGTGTAGGTCAAAGTACTCACCCATGACAATTTACTGGGGGACGCAATTCCAATGGTATCCAATCCCGTGGGGTCGACGCCCGAATGCCTCTGTAGAATTCGCTCTTGGGGGAGGTTATTCACAGGTCTTGGTAGTCGACTTTCTGGGGGGTCAGAAGCTTTAGGGCGTGGTAGACGACTTCCCGACGTGTGTAACTGATTGTTGAGACGTCTGAGTCGACTACGACGATCTGCCGGTGATCGAGTGACAGTCTTTGTGCCAGGCATGGCTACAAAATCTGACGACCACCGTCGAATTCCTTCAATCCGAAGTAAGTACTAGTATATCCATCTCTTGACCAATATGGCCGAAACACATATTATTGAACTCATCTTTCTGTGAGAAACGCCTGGAAAATAGTCTTTTCAAAATCACTAATTGTTAGAATTTGATCTTCATCCAAGGATATTAGATATTGACGTTGGAATATCTATAACACAAGTTCCTTTCCGATATTCGAAGACTGGACGCGACCCCCTTAATTCCACGTTGTACTTAAATCAAAACACGACCCGCGTTCACTTGTGGATAAAGCAATTGTTCCTTACGATTACGACAAGTCTCGTCTCGCCGACGGTAAAGACATTCGGCGTTACAAATACTACTTTGTCAGTAACACGTAACAGCGTTTGAGTGTCCAATCCAGATTATATATCCAGGACAAGTGACCAGTGTCCTTCGAGTGACCTGCAGCACACCCACATAAACCGTTTGGCGAGCCAGCGTTATCAAGCTTCACTCTCGCTGTTGTTCGTGCGATTCTGTCAGCCCTCGGAATGCTTTTCACGACAGCTCGGAAAACAATGTCACGTGATGATTGTTGACAAACTGCCCGCTGTGATTACTGAACGTTATTCGTCAGCTGGAATACATGTCTGATTCACTCTGTCGGATTTAAATTTCATCAAACATCGACACGAGAGGGGATATGTATCCGCCATATCTCCCCCAGAGAACGTTACCTGGAAAATCAAAGGAGATAATAAAAAATACGATACTACTGCAAGGGCGCCTTCTTATCAAAACTGGCGATGTGACGACAGGTGCGAGTGGCAATTTATCATATGTGAGATTTAGTATGGCAAATCAATCTTCATTGAAGCACCAGTTCCAACTCGCGTTTCTGCGTTGATAGACTTAACGCGATCGCCGTAGTATCGTCGCTTTGGTTACTCACAACGTGAACGACATTGACAGGTAGCCCCGAAACGCTGATCGGCTCCTTTTCGTGTTGTATCGCGATGTCCAACTGTTGTAAAACATTCGGCCATACTTCAATTACATAACAATTCCTGCTGCGAATCAACGGTTTTTCCAAACCGTCGCTATGAGTATCCAAGCGATACTGAAGTTTATATCACGGTCTCTGTGTGGTATTGAAGCGGGACAGCAAAATTGAAGTTTATACCGCTGAATGTAATTTACACTCGGATGGTCGGTAAACTATATTGTGAAATAATATCATTATGTTTTGGCACTAATCCCACGTGTCGAGTTCAGGACACACAGTGACTGCAGTCTATTTACTTCTGTCAGCCAAGTCATGTGTATATTGTAGATATTGGATTTAATAGGTTATATAAACACTCGAGCAATCAATATGTCAAGAACGCAGGTATAAAATCATTTCCATTACTGACCCATATTCCGGTGTGATATAAACACAATTAATAGGACCAGTTGATAATAAAGGTCTTACCTTAACGATTTGATAAGCCTACTTAAAAAAAAAACCGTGAGTGGTTTGTAATCTCAGCTTATCGGGCGCTGTCCAGATTAGGATCAAATCATGGTTAAGGCTAAATAGTCGCTTCTGTTGGTAGTCACTTTAGCAATCTGTAGGTGGGTCCCGTTCTACAAAGCCATCTTAGCACTACGCCTGTAAAACTATATATAGATGTCTTAGCGCTAAGATCGTAAGCATTAGGGCGACCCGTGAAGAGCCGGGGTAGAATAGGTCTTCAGCAACCCATGCTTGACGTAAAAGGCGACTATGCTGGTCGTACGAGGCGACTAAAGGGGTCGGGTTGATGCGTGTCATCGCATCCCAATTACGTGGATCGATGCTCATGATGTCAATCACTGGATCGTCTGGTCCAGACTTGATTATTACCGCCGTCATACAGCTGGAATATTGCTAAGTGCAGCGTTCAACAACAAACAAACAAACAAACAAACAATACAAAAGCATTAGGGCTTTGAAAAGGCACAAGACCAAACCTGCACTGGCAATATAATGTTTGTGTTTGCTTTTACTTTTCCTTACATGTTGTAAACAGATAATATTTCATCTACACAGCTACTGTAATGTTTTAAAAGTTTATAACAACCGCAGATTAATTTAATTGAACGTTGAAAACACATTCCCTTATTTACTACCGGGATAGTAATGATGACGTCATAAGTATCGGGTGAACACTGATGGTATCTCAGTGAGCTAGCACTATAAATCGGCATTAGTCCGGACTAGTACAATAATCTAAGTGCAATAATCTTGGACGCGACGTTAAGCCAAATTTCACTTCACCTCACCTCACCTCACCTCACCTCACCTCACCTAAATGTCTTTTCCAGAACGTTTCACATAGATGTTATCAATGAGGAAGTCCAGCATTTCACATATTTTCTCAGTAAACTTCAGATGACATTTGCTTTCATTTGTGAAATTGTCCTGAAAGATTGTGATGAAAATATAACAATGGTCACTAGGTTTAGGGGCGGTCGGGTAGTCTAGTGGCTAAAGCGTTCGCTCGTCACGCCGAAGGCCCGGGTTCGATTACCGACATGGGTACAATGTGTGAAGTCCATTTCTGGTGTCCCCGCCGTGATATTGCTGGAATATTGCTAGAAGCGGCCTAAAACCATACTAACTCACCCACTCACCAGATTTAGTGACAAATATGTCATGGATCAATGAATTTGGATCAAAGTGTTTCCGTAAGTTTGTCGTACTGATGTACAGAGCTGAAAAATCAAATGTTTTGACAGAATTAAACTTCTGAAATAACGTCACGGAAGGAGGAGGAATCTATTAGCTGACCACATTCATAAACGATGAACGTTTACTATGGCGGTGGAGTGAGTGAGTGAACTGGGTCTAACGCCGTTTTGAACACTACGTGCACGATTATTAAAATTTGAGTAACCTTGGTTACCCCATTTCTGGCTAGAACCCCCCCCCCCCCCCCCTGAGTTAACCATTGTCACCCCGAGCAACGGAGTGAGAATCAACGTACCCAGACTGTTGTAATTGTTCGGGTGTTCTTGGCGGATATCATAGTTGTATTTCTTAAAGTTCAAATTCCTTTTTTTTTCTCACAACGATCTAATTTTATCTGATTAGATGATAAATCAGATTTATCTTTAGGGAATAGTTATAGCAGAGACTGCGTTTAATAATTAACTTTAACGTTGCGTGACCTGAGCACTGTTTTCTTACCGCTTTCACGCACGCAGAAGTCAAGTGTTGATGAGGACCTAGACAGGATACTGGGAGTAATCGTGGGAACGGGTGGCCCGTTGGAGTAAGGCACCAAATTAAAGGCGCAGAGTTGCGTCCCTTAGCAGCCAGGATCTGCTTTTCTTGGATTCGAGTCTCTCGATTTCGATCCTTGGTCTGCCAACACTACATCCTCGATCCTGGGTCTCACCGAGAAGTAATCGTCATTCTCCTCCCGCACCATGATGACTTTTCACATTTGACGCATCAGGGACAATCGAACATGTTCTTTCTTCGACTTTTTCGTACGCCTCACGTGACTCTTGCTTAAAAGTTCTTTGATCTAAGTTACAACATTCAATACAAGGCCGGGTGGTCAGGTAGCCTGGTGGTTAAAGCGTTCGCTCGTCATGCCGAAGACCCGGGTTCGATTCCCGACATGGGTACAATGTGTGAAGCTCATTTCCGGTGTCCCCCGCCGTGGTATTGCTAGAATATTGGTAAAAGCGGCGTAAAATCTCCCTCACTCACTCACTCAATACAAGGCCAAGCTTTGAAACTGATTATAGTGGACATTTCCAAATTTGGCGCACCGGTGACAAAAATGATGTCCCATTCAATGTCCTATTTTGACTTTTACCATATGTTCTCGTGTATGTTTTTAGATGAAAAACTGCCAAGCCTTTGCATGTGTTTGTGACGGGTGCCATCGGTGGGACAGGATACGCTAACCTTTTCGCGAACACTTAATATCATCACTATTTGAAAGTGATTCGTAACATGGCCATATCCTTCATAACTTAACACTTACAATTTGATTAAACACGAAAAAAATAAACCGAATAATTCTACCCATACACCCAGTGGAATGTGCTCCGCGGATAATCGAGACTGGCGTTACTCTGGCGTTGACGTGTTACATTGTATCAAGTCCAAAAAGGTAAGCTTCGCTTCAACAACAGACTCTCACATCAAATATTCACAACCCATTGACCCCTGTGATTGTAGTGATGAAATCGACAAGGCATGCTGTCAAGAATTACCTCGGCCATCAATAGTTGAAGACTGGTGCTTATTTCAGCCACACCCAGGGAGTCAACTGGAACAGCCTTATAAGTATTTGGGAGTCAGGGGATGGAGAGATATTAATCTCGCCTCGTCGAGCCGTGGATCGATGGCGCGGTGAGAGCGTGGTAATTACGGACAGGTCAAGGTGACCTTAAGTATTGACCAGCCAGTTGGACGTACCAGAAAACACTTCTGCTCCCAATAAGTTGTAATTTATTTTTTCCTACAGAAAGTAAAGTACTTCAGAAAATAATATAAAAACGTTAATGATGGGCGTCGTATACATGCGGTGAACCTCGATGAATCCACATGGATTAATTGGGATTGGTTGTTTGCTTTTTTCCCGCCCACTTACTCAATTAATTTTTTTAATCAGTCTTTTTTAATTAGATTTAATTAGGGCGCAAGTTATGTTTAATTTAACTCACAACAATATAACATTGATGATTGCACACACCACCATACGTGACGTCAAAGTGTATTTTAAGTACACATCTATTCCTGGGCAACATATAGTTACCTAAAGAGAGTGAAACGAATGTATTACTGGCAGCATCAAATTAAAGTCCTTTCCACGCAGACTAGTTCACGGCACTCTTTGCGCTGTGTTAGATTTATTATCGAAGCGAATTCTACCACTATCTTTTCCGATTTTTTTTTGCTAGGATTGCTCTCTTTGGTAACGCTCTTTGTGTTTAGGCAGTGCAAAATAATACATTTAATATTTTGAGATGTGCCATATCCAGTACAAACTTGCATCTTGGATCCTGACCTTATAGATTAAGATGTTCCTTTTCTGAAAAGACCCCTGCAAACGTTTTAGTGTCAAAGTTTTACAAATATAAATGAAACCAAATACTCTTTTAAATGACAACGAGTTTGCAAAATATCTTTACCTTTCTGGCAGTATATAATTACGTATACGGACGGTGATATATATCGCAACCAACCACTTCGTACGGTATCTAATGACAGACAGCCACGTATTTTGTCCAAAAATATATTGACTATCGTAAGTGGGGAAATCAGTTGATAGATTCACAAGGAGACATTCACAAGGAGACATTGGTCGGCCTGTATCTAGCAACACAGTATGACGTACATGGGCAAGCTTGTTAATGTCTCACATGTCCTGCGCAGAATTATCCGAATCTGATGGTAATATCTGATGGTAAGTGATCACAGTGTAATTATTGCAGAAATTTCACAAAATATTATTATTAAATATTCTTGAGGAATAACACGCACGCACGCACGCACGCACGCACGCACGCACACGCAGAGATAATGAACACATAATTCTTACATGCCATGATAGTTTACTATCGTTATATGAAAGAATCGGCCGTTGTTTTACTTCTTTTGAGTATGACGTCTGTTATTGTGATGGTGAAGGGTGTTCGCCAAAAGGGTAAGCATGTCCTGCGCATGTTCTCCGACCCTGATGATTTGTGTTTGTTGTTTAATGCCGCACTCAGCAATATTCCAGCTATATGACGGCGGTCTGTAAATAATCGAGTCTGGACTAGA